AATGGGTCTAATCAAATTATTGTCCACATCCACTTAGAGCAATAAAGTTGTGTCTTTATATTTATTCTTAAATACCTCCTGCATTGTTGTTCTACTTATGCATCCTACATTACTTAGGTCAGCTAGGTCATTTTGTTGGAGATTGAGATGAACTTTTTCAAGCAATGATGAGTTAAAACTTTAAGGCAAGCAATCACCTTATTTTCTTTGACCTTCTTCTAACTTGATTTTCAATTAATGAGGAGATTCATAACGAACTAATGTGGACTTTGATTGCATTTGGCTTTCCATGGATGTAAGTGTGAGATCTGATTTATCAATAATTGATATGTGGCAAATATCCCTATATGAGAATGATGCAAATGACAATTTAAATATGACAATGAAAATGATGCATAGAATTAAATGACATTGAAATGATGCAAATGCATAAAGTCAAACAAAATGGTTAAATAATCAATATATCACACAAATTGTTCCTTTTTATGTCCTAACTTTGAGGTACATCTATCAATGGGTAGGAATAGCTTTATCTTAAAGCTGGCCTCTTAAGTGTAAATTATAAGTTGGGTTAAGTGACTTTGACCACTAAAGGTTTCAAATTGTTCCTTACATCATTGGCCATCATAGACTAGTAAGACATTCCAATCCTCACCCATCACAGGCTACCAACGAAAAGGATTCAATTTAAGTGAGAGTATTTTGCTAGCCATTGCGGAGATTATCATCTCATGAGAGCATATGTACTTTACTCCCTCTTAAGAGGGACAAAGTCTGGATATAGAGCTCATGTAATGCAAATGCATGTGATAGTGTGTGTGAAGGAACATAAAATTTTCAACCCCATAAATCAAATAAGAGACAAAAAAAAGGGAAAAACATTAGTAAACAAATAACATAATCATTACATTTTAAAACCATTAGACCAAAGGATAGGATAAATTTAAAATTTATTGCTTAACTCTCTAGTTCATCCCCAATGGAGTTGCCAAATTGTCAAAACATATAAATCTGTAAATCTATAGCTAGACTTAATAAGAGAAGTCACCACAAATCTCTTTTAATTAGGTGTGATTGGTCACATAATGAATCTATCCTTTTAAGGAGTTTCTAAGCTTAAGTAAGGGTCATTAAAAGAATAGGTTCTTGTCTACTAATTAGAATAGAGTTCATGAGTTCAGTTACATATGGAGAAGGTTATAACACTCCCACATGCCTATCCAAAGGGTGGTACCATTTTATTTTAAATTATCCTAAGGTCTTGATTCTAATGGTTTTAAATTTTAATGTTGAATATTAGAAATAATTATTTAGATTTCTCCATCAATCTGGTAGAATTCTTAAAAATATTTCCCAACCTTAAGAGTATTTAAGAATCTCATTTGTTTTCTTGAAAAGGTTCTATTATCATAAAAAGTTTAATTATTTTTTATTTTAGTTTTCTTATTGAAAATATATCTAATTCATCTACCATTTGGGTCAAAATTAGAAATATCTTCTCACCTAGGAATTTTTTAGATAATCATCCATTTGTGATTACTACGAATTTCATCATCGAAATTTATTTTTTATTTTAAAAGTTTTATTTCTAAATTTTTCACAATTTGGGCCAATTTAGAAATTTCCTTTTGATTTCTAAATTTTTCATCATTTGGATCTATTTAGAACTTCACTTTTTTTTTTGTTGTTGGAAAGAAAATAATATAACAACTATTTTCTTGAAGTTTTATTTAAATTCTTCCACCATTAGGGACAAATTTAAAGAAATTTTTTACCTAGAGATTTCTTAGGAAATTTATTATTTGAAATTTCTAAGATTCTCATCCTTAGATAATTGTCAAATATTTTTATCCAAAATTTTTATTTGAAAATAATATAATTACTTTTATTGAAACTTCACCTAAATTATTCCACCACTTGGGACAAATTTAAAAAAATTTCTCACTTAGAGGTTTTATAAAAATTTACCATTTGAAATTTTTAAGAATTTTATCATTGGATAATTGGTATTTAATTCAAAAATTTTTGTTAAAATTTCTTATTTTTTTAATTGAAAAAAATATTAATTATTTGTATTGAAATTTTATCTAAATTATTCCACCATTTGGGACAAATTTAGAAAAAAAATTTTCACCTAGAAATTTTATAAAAATTTACCATTTAAAATTTTTAAAGATTTCATCATTGGATAATTGTTATTTGTTCTCAAAAAAATTATTTTATTTTGTTAAAAAGCTTTCTAATTTTTCCTAAAATTTAATCATGCAAAACTACTTTAAAATAAATAAAATAAAATAAAAAATGCAAAAAAATGGCTTGGCTTAGTAGCTGAAAAGGGCTAAGCTAACAACTCGACTTGGGGCTTGGCTTGAGCCATGGATAGGAAGGTTGGTCAAAGCGTGTCAAGCACTCGGGTCAAACTTTTGCTTGCACAATGGACAGATCCTAAGTGAACTAAACCTCCAAAATAGCATCATTTCGATGGGGTATAAATATCCTAAAACTTTTTTTTCCTCAGATTTCTCCTTCCCCTCTTTCTCTCTTCTTTTTTCTCTCCCTCTTTCTTTGGAAAATGATGAACACCATTTGAATCTTCATCAGGTTCTAAAATTTCTCACTGGAATCTAGGTTAGTTTGCTAGATGTTCACCAAAAGTTCACTGATTTTTGAAAAACTGATGTCGAATATTGGGAAACTCGTCGGAATATGGAAATCTCACTGGAAAGTAGCCAAAATCTTCAAATTTTGCTAGAAAATTCAACCAAAAACTAGAAATTTTCTAGAAAAATTTTCAAAAAAAATCTTCTTTTTGACCCAAAAAATCTTCAAAAATTTTTGTATTCTATGGCTTTTTTTTTGTGCTTTTTTCTCTAATCGCTGTGTGTTTTTTCTTTCTTTTTGTGTTTTTTTTTGCCTGATTCAGGTTCATATTTATAGGGTTTGATTCAAAAAACCCTAATCCAAAAGTGATTTTGATTCCCCTTTAAAGTTTCCCTTCAGATTTTAAAATGAGGACAAAAATGTTCCCTCATTTATCTTTTGTTCTATTTTCCTTCCTTGAGAAACTAGAATTATTGAAACATCAAGAAGATGTCATTTCCACTTTAAGACATCCTATAAAATATTAAACACCTATCCAACGAAAGAAAATTGGATAAGTAAAAAGAAGGGTAAAAAATACCAATAACAAGTGTGAGAGAAGTATTAAGGGGCAATTACAATTAAGGATACGTAATCATATTATTAGAATTTTTTGAATTACGGTTTTGCTAGATAGATTACCGAATAGTTTCATGGTGTGCGAGTTTCAGGTAAAAAATTAATCCCATTTTTCAACATTGATGTTTTTGTTAAATAAAAAAAAATTGATTCGACCCATAAATACCTTTAATAAATTACAAAGGGAATGAATATTTGAAAAAAAAATTATAGTAATATTATATGAATCTATATCTATATGTATATTTATTCATATTTGTTAAAAAATTTTAAAAATTGTGAAAATTTGCATAAGGATAGTTTATCATCTTAACATGTAGACTTATCAATTGAAAAATAAAATTAACATTATCTTATATACTACCTCACTTTAAAATTAGAGTTCCTACCTCTAATATATGTCTAGAGAGAGATACCAATAAATAGTAAATCATTTTATTTAACAATATGCTTCACTCATATTATATTTATACTTTATGTATGTAAATATAACTTAAGGGATGTAAAATTTTGTGAAGATTATGTTAACTTTTCAATTAAATTTCAAGTTACAAATAATATTTTGTTGCATCAAAACATATAAATGTTGACTAATTTGGCTAACATCGAGCTTGGTAAAATGAAATAGTTGAATAATTAAAAAAATGAGATTATATATTCAGAAATACACATTGAATATTAAGATTACGCATTGAGTTTTGGTTGTCCGTCTATAATGAAAAAAGTCTTTGTGATTGTTCTATAGAAATGAAACAAAAAATATGGTAGAGCTAGGATTGTTATTGTATGAGGTCTACGCAATATATATATATATATATATATATATTTCTTTTAGGAAAGAAAAAAGATGGTTTCATGTGCTCTGACCTATTACTAATGCAGAAGCACTATCAAAGTGTTTCAAAGATGGGAAGGTTTATATAATATATTATAATATATAATATCTATTAAGTAAAAGAGTTCTTATCCTAGTGAAGTAAAATAACATTTTAAGAAATTGTTAAATATTCTTAAAAATTAATAAAGAAAACTTGGAAGAAAATTTAAGTAAACAAAGTAATTGATAATGAGATAACATAAATAGCTAATAAAATACTATTAGTTGAAACATAACTTGTAAATTATTTTATTCTGTATTTAATTTTAATAAGATTAGAGTCCAATTGGATTGGGGTTTGGGCAAAGTTTTCAAAAAGACATTAAATTTGATTCCGTCTCACCTAATTCATAGACACTTCTAATAAACTACAAAGAGAATAAATATTTATTCATATTTATAGTTATTTATTTATTCATATTTATAAAATTATAAAAAAGTTAAAAAATTTTGAAAATTTACATAAGGATCAATTGAAAAATAAAATTAACATTCTGAAAGTGATAAATATTCTTTAAATTTAATAAAAAAACTTGGAAGAAATTTTAACTAAACAAAAGTAATTAATAATCAGATAACATAAATAGGTAATAAAATACATATTAGTTGGAATATAACTTGTAAATTATTTTATTTTATTTTTATTAAAATAATAAGATTGGAGGTGCAAAAAACTACAAAATTTGTATTGTAAATTATGTTATTTTTTTATTAAAATAATAAAAAATAAAATATTTTATTCTCCATTTCTTCTTTTCCCATTAGGATTAGGATAGGCAATATATCTATAAATACAATCGCATACCCTAGTCTTCACTCAAAGCAAACCCTAAGTTTTAGATTGTTTTTCTGCTTTGATTCATTGCATTCCATTGCCCTTTTCTTCGAAGAGATTGTTTTGATAATGGCAAGACGCGAACCGTGGTTTCAACTGACGGTAGAATGCGACGTAACTCTCCCTCCTGTCCAGGGTCTTCACTTTTCCCAAACCGGATTTCTTCTTCAAATCCGTAAGTTCCTTGAGGACTATAATGGCAATGTTCGGGAGGATGATCGGGAGGAGGAATTCCAGGAAGAATTGGTTTTGCCAGAATTTGTTTTTGGCTCCAATCGGCACCGCAACTATGTAGCTCACCGTTTACGTGAAGCTGGATGGCGTACCGATCAGCGCGGCCTTGAAAGGATATTGGACGTAGTTTTCTCCGATGCGAAGCTGCTTTTAGAAAAAGAGAAGCAGAAGAAACAAAAGAAGAACAATTCTGAATTTGGCGGCATCCCCACAATAATATTACGCGTCAAGAAGATGGTGAGGTGGGAAGATGAGTTAGAGGCTCTGGCACTGGAGTTGTCAATGCAAGAAACTCCTAAGCCAGTTCCTGCGAAGAAGGATTCCGTCAAGGCTTTGCGAAAAGTGAAGCTTCAACCTGAGGCTGATGGTCTTGGTGCTTCTACTGAAGAGTGCATGATTTGTATGGAGCAACTCTCGCCTGGAACAGAGGTCACTTGTATGCCTTGTTCGCATCTCTTCCATGGAGACTGTATTGAGAAGTGGCTGAATACCAGTCATCGATGCCCATTGTGCCGCTTTCCGATGCCAGCTAGTCCGTAATGTAATGGGAAGATTTATTTATTGGGGTTTTTTTTTTCTTTTTAAAAGTGCAGGATTTTGTTTTTAAGTTTTATTGTAATTGTAGTGTTTATCTCTTAACTATCCAATCTGGATTTATAAGAAGTTTGAATTCCTTGATAAATTTGCTTTTACTTTCATGATCTAACAGGGGGAAAAAATAAATAAACTCGTAAAACTGTGCAAGTGCACTAATTAAGTACATATGCAATTTAGTTTATGACTCTTTCCTTCAAAAAAGGAAAAAAAAAAGATCATGCGGGTGCAATGTAGACTTTATCTCAACCTCAACACTGTACTCAAGAGCGCCAGACGGTGGAATCTGGACACCAGAGCCTAAATCTGACCATTCTTTCCAAACCCCAAATTGGAGGAACTATCACTCTCCTTTTGCCTCCTGCTTTCATTGATCTCAACACATATTCTACCCCTTCACACATTCCCTTGCTGTAAGGCCTTGACCCCATTACTAGAGCAAGTGGCTTCTTCCCTCCATAAAATGTATCAACAAACACTTGACCACCGCCTTCAATTTTTCCCTTGAGATCAATCACCACCAAGTCTCTATTCCATGGAAAAGGCCCTCCACCAACTCTCAACTCATAGTACCTGTTTTAAATGCATATATATATATATATTATCATTTATTAGCCAAAGAAAATGCTGGCATTAGATATATATTTTAGGTGGTTAATCAAGTATATATAGATTAATTTATAGACAATGAAGAAAATATACCTTATGCCATTAGGCAACACGACCTCCTCTTGCTTCTCAACATCTCTGTCCAAAACAATGAGTGTGGTCAGTGAAGAAGGACTAGTCATCAGACTCATCATACACAGTTAGCAAGTTTGTATAAATTTTAACCACTAATTCATTTGAGAGGTTATTGAGTAAACTTTTGTATTTGATTTTCTACCCAAGTAAAAAAGCTACCTAAAATGGTGCATTAAAAATAGCAAAGAATAGTTTGATACTTTGTGAATTTATGGTGGAACGTGAGAATTTCACAAATCATCTAATGTCCTTGTAGGTTGAACAAGTTTAAAGCATTTGACTTCAATGTGAAGATTCAAGGCTCTATCTTGTCCCTTGGATATATATGATTATAGTAATTTCTAAGGGAAGAAATCCATTGCCAAAAAAAATTCTATATCATTAATACAATTTATCTAAACCGTTTCAAGACTTCCTAGTATGAAGGTGTTTGTGTCACGGGTTGAGACTTAAGCTCCGAACCCGCGCGGCTCCGAGACTCGAGCATTCACCCTTTCGACGTCCCGAATCAGCCTAACCGTCACGATTCACACCCTTCTGAGGTATTGTCCGCTCTGCCTCCTTTGGCCTCACGGTTTTGTCCTACAAAAGGTGCCTCACAAGGAAGAGATGGTGTGAACCCTTTTATACCCCAGTAACCCTCCTATTATGTTCGATGTGAGATTTAGGACTCCCCCTTAGGTCCGTGACATTCTCTTGCACCCAACCTCGTGACGCCCTTATCACGGAGGCTGGCCACCCTGCCTACCTCCCTCGAGACGCTTGGCGTGGATTGAACGGTTTAGGGCTGGCTCTGATACCTCTTGTCACGGGTCGAGACTCAAGCTCAGAACCTGCGTGGCTTCTAGACCCGCGCATTCACCCTTCTAGCATCCTGAATCAGCCTAACCGCCACGGTTCACACCCTTGTGAGGTATTGTCCGCTCTGGCCTCCCTTGGCCTCACGGTTTTGTCCTACAAAAGGCGCCTCACAAGGAAGAGATGGTGTGAACCCTTTTATACCCTAGTAACCCTTATTATGTTCGATGTGGGATTCCCTCTAAGGTCCATGACATTTGTGCTGAGCTGACTTGCTAGGGATATAACTCTAAAATTAATAAGAAAGGGAAACAGAACGGTTAGGAATAAAGCTAAGGGGTGTCCTTAGCATTTGTTCTCTGACGCTCAAGTCAAAGGTTGGCAAAAGTGGAAAAAATGAAGGAGAATAGAAAGAATAGAAAGGTATCTGAATATTAAATGGATTAAATGGTACCTAGATGTTCCTATTTATAGTTAAAAGTTGAGGGGTTTTGAGTAGCCTAAGCTACCTAGGGTTAGCTTGTGGTTAGAAATGACATGGAAGGTCGAGCCGACCAGGACACTGATTGTCTACTCAGAGGGTGACAAGTTAGCATCAAGGGGGCCTTATTGGGTAGATTGGTGAGGTGGCTAAGCTAACGTGGCACTATGACCTTAGGTCGGTTTGACAGGTCAAGTTGGCCCAAAAGTCCAAAATGCCCCTATTTGTCTATTGGCAACTTCTAATGAAGAAAGATGACTAAAATGCCCTTTGGACCTAAAAGTACCCTTAACATTTTATCTTCCCACCTAGTAGTCTAAGTATCAGATTGACGAGTGTTGGTTTAGCTGATCTGATGTGTGTTTGTTAATATTAAGCTTAAGTTTCTTGATTATAGGCTTTGAGAGCTTATCTGGTCATTTTGATCGTAAGTCAACGAGGTGGGTGACTACAAGTGCTGGAGTGAGGAAAGGCTGGATCAAGTAAGCCTATGGTTAGCTTTCAACATGTTATATGTGTGCCTAATGCTGTGTTTGGTTGTAATTCGTTGATTTACTATTGCGATAGCCAATGTTAGACTTGTATAAATTCTTGGTTTGTAAATTTTGTTTATCTTTTGCACTATTGCATGGTCGACTTAGTCGATGTGATTGGCTTTGCTAAGGTGATTAATGTGTCCCTTGTGCAAATTGATTTGATGTTAGAAAGTAAATTTGCATTTAAAGAGAAAAGAGAAAAATTGGTGGTTAAATGAATTTAGGTTGAGAATGTGAAAGGTCATCTTCGGTAACCACTTCTGCCATGTGTTACAATCTCAAGCATCCATTCAATCTCTAAGTCGGCTATATAAAGGGCTTCCAATGGCTTTTTCCTTACCTTATAACTTTTTTGCTTTCGTGTAAACCTAAGTTTACCGATCTCTTAGCCTTTTCCCAATTTTTTTTTGACCAATCTTATCCTTTTCATCCTCTTCAATTTATATCTTAACTCTTTTTAATTATGTCTTCTAGTTCTAGTGTATTTGGAGTTTTAGGTGGAACCAAAAAGAGGTCAGCTTAGCAATCAAGGTTCTTTAGATGGCAAGAACTTTTCTATCATTACAAGAAGAGACTATCGTCGAGCAATTTTCTCGTTGAACTTGATGTTTGTTGAGGATCAAAGGTAACATAAAAGAATGCTCATGTCACGGGAGAACGGGTCATAATGGCATGGATGAGCTTCTTGTTGCAATAGATTCTGAACTTGAAAGTTTTCCATCCTCAATGTTAAGGGTTATCTAGCTCTTCCAGTTGACATTCATTTTTTTCTTTAACTACCTTTTTTTAACCACAAACATTTGCTTCAATTTTTTCTCAACATCCATCTTTGCTAACTTTAAGGTCTAACCTAGTCCACATCATGGGCCTAAGAAGTTTGCTATCTCCCCTTCCTCTAATGTGATGGTGAGACCTACTCCTATTTAAATGTAGACCCCTACTACCTTTTTAGAGAGTGAGTCATCAGGTGATGAGACCTTTGAAGGCGAACAAGTTATAGACAAGCAAGTAAAAGGGTATAACCAAGTCGAAGAAGAAGGGAAAGGTAAGGGGGAGGAAGAGGTTGCCTCAAGCGGTGATGCATACAACCTTATCCCTTTCATACTTCTTACAACCTAGGTGTAACCTTAAAAGATATGAAATAGAGTTTAAAAGGTAGGGCCAATCCCAAGGATTGCCCTAACATGTGCTTGATGCATCATTCTCGTACTTTGAAGGTTAAATTTGGTATTTCTAAAGAGGGGTATAGCATAATAAGCATCGACTACTGATCATTAAGTTACTATGCCTTTGGATGCCAACAAGATTTGGGTGTTCTGAGAGTTCATAATGGTTGGTCTAAGGTTCCCTTTGAATTTTTTTATTGTTGAACTTCTTTTTTCTTATGATTTAACAATCACTAAGTTCATCGTAATTCTTTTCGGTATATAATAGGATTCATTATTCTTTGTAAGAAACTAGGTTTAGATCCCACAGTTCCTTTATTCAAGGAATCTTTTATAGTTGAGAAGCATGCCTATGATAGGAGTTGGTTTTATGTCATAGTTTGACTGGCAAAAAAAAATTGTAGATTGATCGGCTTAATAAAGAGTTGGAAATTGCTTTTCCTCTTCATTCAAAAGTATAAGAAGGGGGTGTGGGAGATAACTAATAGGCTGGGTACATTTAAAGATGTCCAAGTTGTGCAGGGAATTATACATCATTCTACAGAGTTAAAGTAGCAAAATTTTTAAATTTTTAATTCCCTAAAGCCAAAATCAATCAATAAGATTATACAAACAATATATATATATAAGCATGCATAGTTTTAGCTAAGGGTGTTACCTTGAATGCCTAAAATCCCTTGGTTCAGTTTGGTGACCTTCCAAATAGATTCCAAGCCAAAAAGTTGCTCAAGTGTTCAGCCTCTAATGGTGATCTAATCAAACTCTTGTGAAAGAACCTTCTTTAAGATTTGGTAGAACTTAAAGCCACAGCTAGTAAGTGCTTGTAAATTTTCTTGAGTGAAAGCCTTTTTTTTTTTTTTAGTTTGTTTTTTATTAGTTGATTAGGTACAAGAGGGGACAGCTTGATGTTCCTTTTATAAGGGAAGCATTTGGTCACATTAGCTTTAATACATGGAATACAAATTTTCATAATTAATCCTATGCTAGCTGAATGTACCAAATAAGGAAAACTCTTTTTTTTTTGTTTTCATTTCCTCTATTTTTGGTCATACCAAAATCAAATTAAGTTCAACTTAATTTGTCCTAATTTTAATTTTTTGCAATTGTCCTTTTGTGTGTGACCCATTAGGTTCTTTAGCGTGTTGGCAATAAACACAAGCATTGTAGGCGTTAATATTCAACTATGGATGAAGTAAACCTTTCGTCTTCATGACCAATTCT